TCGCAGTGCTACATTAGCCCCCATTTACACTTGAGCATAAGCTTTCTCAGGCATTTTTGAAGCTTTTTCTTTGTGTGTTTTTCAAGCATTTTTTTTTAGGTTTGAGCATTTTTGTTTTAGCCAATGGAAAGCTAGTTACCAGGAGGTGGAGGAGTGGTTGGTGGGTGTGAAATCAAACACAAAGAGGTTTTTTAGGTTTTTCCCATTGATCTCCATGTAGCCAAAAGCATGCGATTCTACCCGAAAAAAGTGTTTTCGAGGTACAAGCAATCCAACTCAGGTGTGAACAGGCACCTTTAAAAATGATGAGATTTCTCATGTTGTCACACTTTGGGAAACGTGTGGCAAAACAAACACTCAGGTGTGAATGGGGGCAACAAGCTGCAAAGGGAGGAATTTATGACTCAAGCTGTAACCTTGTAGTAAATCTGTTGTGTGATCTGTCTCGCTGCTCCTGTTTAACATGGCCTTGTGGTGCAGCAGAATCAATAAATGTTCCCCAATGTGTGGCATTTAAGTCATGTTAGGTATTCCCCAGGTGGGAAAGTTTTTAAAAAAGTCACAAGATAAAAAAAATCTATATTGAGCAGAAAAGACTTTTAAAAAATCACAATGATGTGAAAAGCAAGCAAAGTTCATTATTTTACATATAAATGTTGACTTTCTGAATCTCATTGTTGTCTTCCACCAACAACAGGTGGCTTGCTACTCAGATCACACTTAAAAGACAACTTTTTTGTTTTATTTTGGATAGCGTGGGAAAAGCTTAACTATGGAGTAAGCTTTTTATCCTATAGTTCTCTTTAGGATCACAGGACATATACCAACGTCCCCCCGTGACCCAAAACTCAGTACATTCGACCCCCGCAAAGTCGCGCTTCAGAGTTCGCAGATTTTTCCCATATAGGGGTAACATTGGCATTTTACATTCTAGCACTGCGGGAGACATAGCAGTACAGTAGTGTACAGTATACGGGTTTACCTTTACATTCTTTTTTTAAGGGTAATGTATTAACCTGAGTTTGAAATTAAATTAAACTGTTTTGGGGGCATATTTAGATTTCAAACAATAAAAATAGGCATTTATAGGCATTTTTGACCACATAAAAAATGTGCGGTCTTTCACAATTCGCAGGTGCTCTATGAACGTGACCCCCAGTTGGGGATCGACTGTATATAGCGAGCTATTGCCCGCTATATGCTGAGAGCACCACAGCCGAGACTGACATAATACACCCATTGTACCTAAAACAAAAAAAAAGTCTTAACTTGTGAGAACTCTATAAAAAGTAGCAACCATTGCTGAACCCCATGATATATGCTAGCTCCGAGGTAGTGAAGCACAACCTATGTTGCTTTCACATCAGGTACCACCTTTACATTAGGAGACCACTCCTTTCACATCACAGTTCCCCTCTTGAGCTAAGAGCTCCCCTTAACATCAGAGCCCCCTTTCATGCCAGAGTCGCCCCCTTCAAATCAAGAGCCCTCATGACATCAGAATCCCCCTTCACATCAAGAGCCCCGCAACACATCAGTAGCCTCTCTTTACATCAGATATCCTCCTTCACATTAGGAGCATGCCTGCATCATGATGCTTTGTGAGGGCCGCCTGAGGAAGCCCTCACAAAGAAAGGTTGATCTAATATTCATGTTCTACAGCTGGAAGGAGCTCAGTGACGCTGACAGGTTACTATAAAGTTGAACCATCACAAACAGAGAAGAAAAAGTATGAGCACCAATTTCCAAAAGCAATCAATTAGGTTCTTTATGTCAAAAATGAACAAGAATTCTGAACAGCAACTACAATTTTGTCCTCATTTTGTGTCTCCACTGAATCAGATTACATACACGTTCAAACGAAAGATTAACAACAGGATCCATATTTCCTTGTACACTACTTTCCAAATCATCTCCTTGATGAGAACTTCCCTGTGCAAATCCAAAGAAAAGTCATTCTATATGACAGATTGAAGGCTGTCATTCCATTTTCCCAAATTCACCTGGGAAAGTGGAATTACCCTTTAAAAAAAGACAGCCAACACATCTGATATGAAATGGCACTTAAGCTGGCCATACACCTATAGATTATCTGCAGATATGGTCAGATGGAAAAAGTACTACAGATTCATCCATCTACGCTAAACTGTGTGGATGGAGGAATCTCCCACTGGGCCAAGCTTCAGCATCCTGCTTGTCGGCCCCACTGGCTATCAAAATACAAGAACAATGCCTGCAACCAATCAGATTGTTCAGGTATTTTGAGAGCCAGTGGGGCCGACTAGCAAGATAATGAAGCTTGGCCCAGTGGGAGATTCCTCCATCCACACAGTTTAGCGCAGATGGAGGAATCTGTTCCACGGTATCCATCTGACCATAGAAAATCTGCAGATAATCTTTAGGTGTATGGCTAACTTTAAACTCAACACACATGTTACAATCTGATTGTACAATTTCCTTTAGGCCTTGTTCACACCAAGCGCGTTCCAGGAGCAGAGCAGTTACAGACCGGATCAAAACTGCGTCCAATGTATTCCAATGGTATTTTGGGCTCTAGTTCACATTGCAGCGTTCAGTTCCAGAGCATGTACAAAAACTGCAGCAAGCACTGCTCTGGAACGCATGCAAACGCATTAAAAATGCATGCAAACACCCTAGAATGCACTGAAAGCCCATTTTAAACTTTAAAAAAACAATAATAATTTTTTTACCAAAAACGGCCCGAAATGCATCAAAAACGCGGCAAAAACGCATCACAACCCACTGCACTGCGTGTGCAGAAACTCATGCAGATCTGGTCTGCATTTGGTGTGAACAAGCCCTTAGATCTACTAACAACTATGCAGTACAAGGACCTGGTTGAGTGGATACAAATTGATTGTATGGATTAGGTAGGATCTCATATTACATAGATTTGGTAAATCTAAAATGGATTGTGCAAAGATTGTATGGTCAGATTGTAAGGTGTATGGTGACCTTTAGATCAAAGTACACATAACCTATACCACCCAAGAAGAGGACTGGCTGTGGACTGCAGTCTAATTAGTGCCCCTCTGCTTACACCGAGCTCCATCTCTGTCACAGACAGTTCTGCATTGCAGCTTCACTGGCATACAAATGTTTATATAAGCAATGTATAACATCACACAAACTTCTGAACACAAAACAAGCTTTCTGTGTATCCTTGTATGTGTTCTGCATTCTTATCATGGCAGTGTGGCTAGAACATGATCACTGGTTTTCCTGGAGCCTGGGGGAAGGCACACTGCAGAGATTGGTAACTAAACAACTTCAAAGCCAAACTGGCATACCAGCTACTAACCGACACAGCTCATTAGAGCGCATGTAAATCCCAACTGGACAACATTTCCTTCGCAAAAGCACCGTGCATCATAAACAAATACCTTTTAAAATAAAATACTGTTTTCATCTTTATTATTTCTCTTTTTTGGCATGTCAGTGTTGCTGATCTCCTCCAGCCTCTGTGCAGCCATTTTCCAACTACATCCATGAGCTCCAATGGTGACTACATGTCACTGTTCAGTGCAGGCTTTCTGATGGTGACAACAGTAAATACCTGCACACCAAGCCTTGACATGGACACTTATAGTCTCCACCGGAAACCACTGTGACAACGAGTAAGTGTCACCAGCATATCAACCATTCCAAAGAGACACAAACCGGAGCTACATTCCGGAACATCACACCGGCCCCTGCATCAGGCAAGCAGTGTTTACCTGGTGATGGGGCCAGTATGAGGTTCCAAAACATTGCCCCTCTTTGGAACTAATGTATGGTCCTTCTCCGGAACTTTCATCACTGCAGATCTGAAAATAGCAGCACCATCTGTTCTCTTTCACTACAGCACTGGCTTCCTGTGGGCCTGTGAAACATTTGGAGATCACCATACCCTTCACCAGGGGTAGGTAACCTCAGCACTCCAGCTCTGCAAGTCCCATAAGGTATTGCAAGATTCTGTAGGCCACAAGCATGTCTCCCAGAGGCAGGAGAAATGATGGGATTTGTAGTTTCAGCACAGCTGGAAAGCCAAGGTTGCCTACCCTATGTATCAAAGGGTGACAATGCAGGGGAGCAATTGGGATGCAGAGTGTTGTCACCTAATAACAGGAAGCGACTTTATGGCAGGATCACCAGGTGTTATCATAATGAACACTGGATTTAAAATGCCGTTAATATTTGAAAGCTTATATGAGTTTTTAGTGATTGGGTTAAAATTTTACATTACCCAACTCTGTAGTCACATCTGACACCATACAAGGAGACAATGCTTTTCAGATCTCCTCCATTATTACATGCAAACCAATGCGATGAACTATCATAAACAGTGTTGTAGAAACACAGACTGGATGACACAGACACAGTACATGAGCAGACAATCCTATTCTGTGGGGTCCAGCACTTTACACACTGCTTCTTCTATGTCATTCTGCATGTCCTTGTACAGTGTGTGAGAACGCTAAAGAGCAGACAGCACGGAGGGCCTTTTCCCTAGTCCAGATAGATACCCTAGTTACAGCCCCGACACCCCTTCAACTCCTTGTATTGTCATCTAACAGCCCCAATACTCCCTCACCTGTCTGTACTGCCCAAAATCACCCAACACCCCCTCACCTGTCTGTATTGTCCTGTATTAGCCCTGACACCCCCCTCACCTGTCTGTAATGTCCTGTGTCAGCCCCCTCACCTGTCTGTAATGTCCTGTAATTGTCCTGTATCAGCCCTGACACCCCCCTCACCTGTCTGTATTGTCCTGTATCAGCCCTGACACCCCCTCACCTGTCTGTAATGACCTGTATCAGCCCTGACACCCCCCTCACCTGTCTGTATTGTCCTGTATCAGCCCCGACCCCCCCTCACCTGTCTGTATTGTCCGGTATCAGCCCTGACACCCCCCTCACCTGTCTGTATTGTCCTGTATCAGCCCTGACACTGCCTCACCTGTCTGTATTGCCTGGTATCAGCCCTGACTACCCCCTCACCTGCTTGCACGGTGTCAGTCAGGTCGTGGCTGCCAGTCGTCCTGGGGAACTCCTTGAGTTTCCTGGCGCTGAGGTTGAGTATTCCGGAGTTTGCCGCCTCCTCCAGGGCTCTCTCTAAGCCGCGGTTGAATGGCAGGTTGAGACTGAAGTTGGTGACTCCGGGCACAGTGGCGGGGTGGTGGTGCTGGTACTGTGTATGGAGCAGAGTGCCGGCTGGAAGACTGGGAAAAGGCTGAGAGTCGCTTCCCAACGTCGCCATCTTCCCTCCAGTTCCCGAGTGCTGTGTCTAGATTGGATGTTCGGTACAGCAGAGAGGAGACGAGAGGCGGCAGTCAGGCAGCAGCAGCTGCAGCAGCGCACAGTCCTTTCCTGTAGGTTTCCTGCCTTCGGGAGTGTGAAGGCAAAGGGCGCATGTCCTCCCCCTGCCGTATATCCTGGCATGCAGCCTGCACAAAGGTACCATGAATTCTTCTTACAAGCCTGTTTCCTGTCACTGACAAAACTTCACATGCTTGTATGGAAGTCCCTCCAGAGCTGTCATGTAATACACTCCCTGATTGGTGTGTGTGGGGAGACCGTGTGCTGCTCCTAGCAGACAATTGTCACATCCTGCCCACTTTTCCTCTGTCAGCTTAGGTGGGACTGAGCTGTACTTTGAATTGCCTCACATACTCTGTGTGCTGCTCTTGTAAAGTCACAAATCAGCAGATTCCCAGCACATCTCCCTCCCTACACATCTGACACTGCGGAGGAGGGAGGCCAGCTGCCACAACTTCCATTGCAGACACTTCAGTGATGGACACAGGAGCACATTCCACTATGGGCTCAGTTCACTCAGGGCCCATTCACATCACATGCATTTGGCCTGTTTTTTTCCCCAGTGCAGCCCCAACACAAGTCAAGTCACAGATGGCCTCGGTTCACACCACTGCAACGCACGGCAGTGTGGTAGTATTATGCACTGAAAAAAATACAACATGCAGTACTTTTTTCAGCACAGCGGGATGCAACATGGTACAACCGTCGCTGTGCCCGTGGATCTTAAGGAAATGTCACTTGTAGCATCTCAATAACGTTCACAGTGCAGTGTGCCAGGATCGGGCACACACAGGCCCGGCGCTAACGCAAGGCAAGTCAGGCGGCCGCCTTACGGCGCTGCAGGGTGAGGGTGGAAAAAACATAGCGCAAACATCAGGGCATTTTGACAAGTACAGGTACTTGTCAAAATGCCATGTTTTTACAGGGGTCGGGGAGGGGGGCGCAAAAATGCACCTTGCCTGTGTAGGCACGAATCCTAGCACCGGCCCTGAGCACACACACCAGCCGCGGTGCATTTTGCGCAGCGGCTGCTGTGAATTGGTCCCAAGAGTTGAATACCGCTTTACATTTTAAGGTAAAATAACTAATGCAGGGCTGGATTAAGAGCATCATGGGCCTGGTGCTGTCAGTCGGACAGGAAGCAACAGCGGTGGCTCTTCTAATTAGGCGTCCACTTGCTCCCTGCGTGGCCCAAGCAAGGAGCAAGTGGCCACCTAATATGCCTGATTAGCAGTGGCGACTCTAGGAACAATATATAGGGGGGGCACATAAGATACCACAGTCAAAATGGGGGGGCACTAATAATTTTCACCACTGAAAAAAACTACAGAAGTATTATATATAAAGTGCCTGTACCAGCCCGCACAGAAAGATGCCGGCTCACCCGACGGGATGATTACCGCACCTTGGCCGACAGGAGGATTTCAACACCATCCTGCTGGAGACCACAGAAAAATTTAAGGAGCCAGCCAATCGCCTGGAATATACTGTATGTACCACATGTATACTGCTCAACTACTGTACATGAATTTTAGCCCCCGTACCAGCAAACACATGCAGTCCCTCACAAATGCACAGCAGTATATTGATCCACAAAGAGTTTTGATTTTATTCCTGCTCTAACATGTAGGACAGGAATAAAATCAATGCTATTTGTGGATGACAATACTGCTGTGCACTTGTATAGGTCTCTGTGTGTGCCTAATATGCCTTGGTCCATGTAGGTAAGGAAGACTGCTTCTAAAATACTTATATTTTTCAAGCAGGTAAAATTGCAAACTTGTCAATCATACAGTGTTTGTGGCTGATATGCAGGCTCTAAAATGTGTAAATCGGTGGTGGTCTGCATTACATTGGTGCTGGTCTGTGATTTACAGTGCATTGGTGGTGGTATGTGATTTACAGTGCATTGGTGGTGGTATGTGATTTACAGTGCATTGGTGGTGGTATGTGATTTACAGTGCATTGGTGGTGGTATGTGATTTACAGTGCATTGGTGGTGGTATGTGATTTACAGTGCATTGGTGGTGGTATGTGATTTACAGTGCATTGGTGGTGGTATGTGATTTACAGTGCATTGGTGGTGGTATGTGATTTACAGTGCATTGGTGGTGGTATGTGATTTACAGTGCAGTGGTGGTACGTGATTTACAGTGCATTGGTGGTGGTATGTGATTTACAGTGCATTGGTGGTGGTATGTGATTTACAGTGCATTGGTGCTGGTCCGTGATTTACAGTGCGTTGGTGCTGGCCCAAGCTCTCCAGACCTCAGGCCAGCAGCACCAATGCCCTGCAGACCTCAGGCCAGCAGCACCAATTCCCTGCAGATCTCAGACCAGCAACACCAATGCCCTGCAGATCTCAGACCAGCAACACCAATGCCCTGCAGACCTCAGGCCAGCAACACTAATGCCCTGCAGACCGCCTGCAGACCTCAGGCCAGCAGCACCAATGCCCTGCAGACCTCAGGCCAGCAACACTAATGCCCTGCAGACCGCCCTGCAGACCTCAGGCTAGCAGCACCAATGCCCTGCAGAATTCGGGCCAGCAGCACCAATGCCCTGCAGACCTCAGGCCAGCAGCACCAATGCCCTGCAGA